CTCTCTCTCTCTCTCTCTCTGTGTCTCTCTCTCTCTCTCTCTCTCTCTCTGTGTCTCTCTCTCTCTCTCTCTCTCTCTCTCTCTCTCTCTCTCTCTCTGCCCTCGATCGTCCCGTGATGTCACCGGGTCAGCTGATCAGCTCCGGCCCGGCTGCTGAGCTGATGCCTCCTTGTTGTGTTCTGGGTCCGTTGTCTCTGTGATCCGGTTCTTCGCCATGGCGGAGCCTCGCAGCAGCACCGTGGAGCTCCGGAGCCTGCAGCTGGCAGAAGGTCAGTCCCCAGAGGAGCTGCTCTCCTCAGCCGGAGCTCTGAGCAGCTCCTGGTCCTTCTCTGGTTCATGTTTCAGGTCCTGCAGCTCTGAGGAACCATGAAGGAGGAGACAGACGTCTGCTGTCAGACCAGACAGAAGAAACAAATAGACTTTATTTATTAGACAGTAACTGAGAAAACCTGAATCCAACATCATCTCTTCACTTGTCGGTTGTTTTGCATCTTTTCTCGTCGTTCTGGTCACGTTTTAATCATTTATCGTCACATTCTGCTCGTTGGGCTTCTTTCCTTTTTGCTTTGTGTCGTAATCTGGACGTTTCACGTCTCTGCAGATGTTTTAATCACGTTCTCATTTGTTTTATGGTTTGTGGTCGTTTTGGTCACAGTTTGCTCGTTTCACATGTTTACATCTATTTTAGAACATTTGTCCACAGAACTTTCCAACATGAACGACTGAATGTCTCCTGTTGGTCACAGCTGAGTCAGTGGAGGAGGACCAGAACCAGGAGGAGGAAGGTTCTGGTTCTACAGGGTCAGAACCAGNATGAGTGGATCAGATGGTTCTGTTGAAACTGGATCAGAGGAGTCAGCAGCTGGAGTCAACCAGAACCACTCAGGAGACGTTAGGAGGTCATGACACTAAGAACATCAGATCAACACAACTCCCTGCGTCACCAAGCGGATGGTAGGAGTCGCTGTTTGTGTATTTTGACCCATTTCCAGAAGAGCTTTAATACGTTTCTGACAGAATCAACATGAACTCGTTTTTGATCCCAAATAAACGGAACATATTCTACAACAACACCGCTGCTGTGTGAAACGACACCAAGCTGCTGGTCCGTTACAACAAAGTGGGTCCCAGAGATGTGAGCGTTTGCTGAGCTGGTGGTTAATCTTCTTACGTAAGAGTTTGTTTAATTCACTTTTCGGTTTAATCCTCCAGCAGCAGTCGGCTTCATGTTAATCCACCGATGGAAGCAGCTGCACCGGCAACATTCGCTCACATCGCTTCTGGCTTCTGGCTTCTGGGTTCTGGCTTCTGGGTTCTGGGTTCTGGTTGCCTGCATGGATTGTCGTGGTCTTCGGTTCCCCAGTGGATGAACCCTGATGACGTCAGCGATCCTCTGAGCTTACCTGTGGCTCCACCTACAGGTGAGAACATGGAACAGCTGATTGGACACTGAAGCGTTTGAACTCATGTTGGTTGAATTTTCTGAACCAGAACTGAAGGTGCATGAATGATATTTACATCAGATTTGTCTCTGCTGATGAATTAAAGTAAAATGATGTTTAAAGAATGATCTCGTCAAACAGGAACTAGTTCCACAACAAAGGAAAGTAAAAATCTAAATGTGTATTTTGGGAGTTTGCTTTCCACTAATCTGAGACAGACGTGAAAATAAACGTCGACATGACGAGTCCATGTGAAAGTAATGCTTCTGTCTGAAGGAGCTTTGATTTAAAGTTAAAGCTCAGATGACTGATGATTACCAGACTGGTTGGTTTATATATGATCACAGCACTGATGGGTCCAGATTGATCACTTTAATGGACTTTTTCCATCATTTCTGAGCCTCAGAACTTCATCAGTACAGCAGATAGACACATGACATTTAGGAGGAAGAACACATCTGGGTTCTGCTAGAACCTGACACCAG